TGACTCTAGTACGCCTTCAGAGTCTGTGAAGATGGTGCTACTTCTTGCCAAGAAGGACGACGATTCGCTTTCTTCCATTCTCGAAGCTTGCAAAGTTCTGGGTCCTTTTCTTGCTCTTGCTTGATTGCTGCAGGTAACCAATCTTCATTGACAACGGTGGTACTGTAGAGGGCTGCTTCCTTATCCTTCAAACGACTACAATGTGAGCACTCAGGTGGACATCGAGCTACTTGGCCTTCGTGGTTCTTGAAATTCAGGCGCCACTTCAGTGCAGCGTGGTCCGTCCTGAGTAGGAATTTTTGTCCATGAAGGTACTTCTAGAAGTGTCCTACCGATTTCACCATGGCCAATAGTTTCCTCCTGGTAACGCAGTAGTTTCGTTCTGCCTTCGATAGCACCTTGCTGAAGTAACCGATGACTCGCTCTTGCCCATCTTGATACGGCGAAAGGACTCCACCAATGCCGATATTACTGGCATCTGTGTCAAGAATGAATTGTCCTTGTGGAAGTGGATACCCAAGAATCGGTGTCGTGGTTAAGCGTTCCTTCAGAGCATCAAAGGCGGCCTGGCATTCTGGATCCCAGTGGGAGGGACGTGCTTCCTCGGTGATACGAGTCAGGGGCTTTGCGATATCCGAAAACATTCGAACGTAACGTCGATAATGAGTGCAGAGCCCAAGAAAGCTCCTGAAATGATGCTTATCTCTTGGTACTGGCCATTGCTTTACTGCTCGTACCTTCTCAGGGTCGACTTTCACACCCTGCCTTCCTACGACGTGTCCCAAGTAGTTAACCCGTTTCTGCAGCAGATGACATTTCTCCAGATTGAATGTGAGGTTTGCAGCCTGAAGTCTCTTGAAAACTTCCTCTAGGTTAATCAGATGCTCTTCAAAAGTTCTACCGAGTCCCCTTAACACATGATTCGTTCGAAGGTGGCCGGAGCATTGCAGAGTTCGAAAGGCATAACCTTGAATTGTCATAACCCAGTGCCAATGGTGAAAGCTGTCTTTTCCCTATCTGTCGGATCCATTTCCACCTGCCAATATCCACTTTCCAGGTCCAGAGTAGAGAAAAGATTCGATTCCGCCAAAGTGTCGAGTGTGTCGTCAATTCGAGGCAAAGAATAGCTGTCCTCCTTTGTCACGTTGTTCAATTGGCAATAGTCCACACAGAAACGAGTGTTTCCATCTTTCTTCTTCAATAGTACCACTGGTGAAGCCCAAGGACTATTGGATGGCTCGATTACCCCGTCTTGTTCCATGTCCTGGATGATCTTTTCTGCAATTTCTCTCTTGGCCTGTGGTAATCTTCGAGCTGGTTGACGAATCGGGGTCCATATACATCATCAGAACGTATCGACACAGACCGTCGATTAGTAGGAATTTATTCGACTAGAATAGTAAGAAATCAGAATAGCAAATCATCAGAACCATATTTCAGCGACTGCAATATCTAAAACCCGTAATTTGTCGAACCGTACTTTGACAGACTGCATTATGTCAGAATGCATAAATCACAATAGTATATAGAAAGACTGCCATATATTCAGAAGTGTACTTTGCCAAACCAGTAAATAAAATACTCTTCATGTCGTCAGCATCATGAAAATATATAATCGTAAAGTCATAGAACCGTAAAAGCACAGACTGTTATTCAGCGACCCGTACTCTGTAGACCACCATTCCATCAGAATGAACATTCCCGACCAGTAAACTGGCAGGATTGTGATGTACAGAATCTGAAAATGGCAGAATGCGGAAAGTTCATACCCGTAAAAAGACAGACTGTCGATTTTTGATACCCGTAAAATGAAAGATCCGTACAATGACAGACTCGTAAAAGCACAGACTGCCAATTTATTTATTTATTTATTTATTTATTACAACTTTGGGATACAAACAGGTTCAAAACCCAAAAAAGTATCCGCTGATACAATATTTTACATGACAGCTCGTATTATAATGAAGTGAGTAAAAATATGATAGTTAAAGTGAAATTTGAAATGTTGAACAATTTTGGAATTTTAGGTGAGAAATATTTTTTTAGCTCTTTGTTTGAAAGTGAATAAAGATACAGTAAATATCAATACTACAATATTTGTTAAAACTACTACTTAACCTTATAGTTGGAGAATTACGGCCTAAATTTGTATTTCGATAATCTATATTGAGAAAGAAATTATTGCGAGTATTCCTAGGAGGAATATGTATAGAGAAAAATGATAATAATGTTGGACAGTCATAATGATTCCTTAAAACCTTGAACGAGAAGACTAAGTCAGTGATTATTCTTCGTTTTTCTAGTTCCAAAATACCGAACGACTGCCGAACTAGATGAATATTTTCAATGTTATAGGTTCCATTTATTTTAAAATTCAGAAATCTTACGAATCTATTTTGTACTTTTTCGATCCGTAGTTTATATACGGTATATCCTGGATTCCAAATCACACTTGCGAAATTCAACTTGCTGTAAACAAATGCAAAATAAAGAGATTTCAATGATTTCTGAGTTTTAAAACTTTTACAAATTCGAGTGAGGAAGCCCAACATTTCATTACATTTACTTATTATATAATCGTAATGTTTGTTGAAATTCATTTTGAAATCTAAAATAAGCCCTAGATCTTTGATTTCCTCCACTCTCTTCAAAATAGTACCTGACATATTATATCTGAATTCAAAGTTCTTGACGTTTTTTGTGAATGAGATAATGAAACATTTATTTATGTTTAACAATAGTCTATTCTTTTCGCAATATTGTGAGAACCTCAGAAGATCAGAATTTAGTTTTGCACAGTCCTCACGAGACTCAATTTTAGAATATATTTTTAGATCGTCTGCGTAAAGTAAGAATTTAGAATTTACGAAACACTTTTTCACGTCATTAATGAAGATCAGGAATAGCAGAGGACCTAAGTGTGAGCCTTGTGGCACTCCTGAGGTCACTGTGAAAGCTTTAGCCTGATAACCATCAATGTTCACAATTTGGGTTCTGTTAAAAACGTACGAAGAAAACCATCGTAAGAGATCGCCATGTACACCAACTTCAGAAAGTTTAAGCATCAATATGTTATGATCGATTTTATCGAAAGCCTTACTGAAGTCGGTGTAGATAGAATATACCTGAACTCGCTCATCCATCTGATTACAAATATATTGAGTGTACGTTACTAAGTTTGTTTCAATTGCACGGTTTGCGAAAAATCCATGTTGTTCTTCGATAATTGCACCTTTCATTCGGTTGAACATCATATCGTACACCAGACTTTCAAAAACTTTTCCCATAATGCAGAGTTTGCTTATACCTCGATAATTCGTAACTTGTTCCCGATCTCCAGAGTTTTTGAAAATCGGAATGAGAAATGCAGTTTTCCATAAAGTTGGAAAATGACCTTCCTTTAGTGATAAGTTAAATAATTCATTCAACGGAACATATAAGCTATTAGCGCATTTCTTTATGAATAGTGCTGGAATACCATCCGTGCCACTTCCCTTTTTTTCATCGAGATCATTAAGTTTTTTTAAGACTTCTTCTTCGTTTAGGGTGAAATTATCGAGTGTGAGATTGCTTTCGCTCATGTCGGGGTTGAGTAGAGGTCGCTGACAATATGGTTCATAAACAGATTGAAAGAAAGTGGAAAAAATATTACAAATATCTTCCCCTTTGGTGGCCTCCTTATCGTTAAATTTTACTAATGACGGAAATCCTCTGCTGTTCTTTGAATTCTTAGTGAAATTCCAGAACTTCTTGACGTTAACCTGTATTTCGGATTCAATGTCGGCTATGTATGTTCTGTAATCAGAGGAAATGAGATTTTTACTACCACGTCTAAGAAATATGAATTCGTTATAATAATTGAGATCGTGAGATTGTTTCCATTTTTTGTGAGTTGAGCGTTTTTGTTTTATTGCATTAATTGTGGCAGCTGAGAAGTAAATTGGATATTTTCTATTTCTAATCACAAATTTGGGAACAAATGTTTCGATCGCTAGATTCAATACATTATACAATCTTTCAGTTGACTCATCTACAGATTCATTTCCGAATACGTTAGACTAATTAATATTTCCTAAGTAATTATTGAGTTCTAAATATTTAGCTCTCTTGAAATTGTATAATATCTCACATTTATAATTTAATCTATTCAATTTGACGTTTTTCAAATTGAATTCTAATGGTGGATGATGATTGTCAGTATTGACTAGGGGAGTGTCACTTATGTTGAGATTATAGACATCGTTGTCCTTATTATAGAAAATTAAATCTAGCAATCTATCGTTAGCATTGTATATAGAATTGTATTGCATAAGTTCATTTACTGATAATAAATCGAACAAACTTGCGGTTTTTTCATCGATGTTCGAAGGTCTGCTGAAATTATTTTGTTTAACTCTGATCCAGTCGATTTGAGGCATATTGAAATCTCCATAAATTAAAACAGAGTCATCAGATATAATATCTAGGATGTCATTCAATTTACTGGTGAAATAAACTCTAGCAATGTCGTCTTTTGGAGGTAAGTAAACGCAGCATATATGCAATTTATGATTAGAACCTTCACAACAAACAGTGATCCAGATATCTTCAGCATCGCTTTGCCACTCTACTTGAAGGACGGTCTTGAATGTTTTACGAATCGCTATCAGAACTCCTCCCCCATCGGATTTTTTACTTGCAGTCGATTGACGATCACGTCGAAAAATTGTATACTGGTTAGCACAGAAAACTTCTTCACTAAACACTGAATCTTTAAGAAATGTTTCAGTCAATAAATAAATATCTGCATCTATAATTGTCGAGTTTAGTTTGCATTCTTCTGTTTTTGTTCTTAGTCCTCGGACATTTTGACAATAAATTTGTAGAGCCATTTTGATAGAGGAATTATTATAAGTAGGTATAAAGGTATCCAGTTCTTTAGGCGGTAGTGAGATTAGAAGAGCTACGAATGAGTTTCGCGTGTGACGTATCATCTTTGCGCATGAATATTTTGGCATTCTTTACCCATACGAATTTATAATTATTGGTCTTTGCAAATTCACGCGCCTCTTTAAAGATAATCTTATTTTGTAGAGTGAGGTCCTCATTTATATATAAGTTTGCTAATACATCATTTACTCTAATTGATCTTCTTATTGTGTTATCGCTATTCTGCCGCTTCGCTTTAGCTGAGGCCAGCAGTTGATCTCTGAGTTCTCTAGAGTTGAATCTAACGATTATGTTTCTTGGACGATTTTCGTTATTTTTGTTAGATTGAACACGATGGACGGTCTCAATTTTATCTAAAATGTCAACGCCGAGAAACCGGGATATCTCACCGACGACGGTTTTCAGATTCTCATTTCTATTCTCAGGAATGCCCTGTATTTCAGTATTATTTAGCCTCGAGGTTTGTTCAATATCGTTCACTTTCAAATTCAGATCACTCACTTGTTTTTTCAGAACATTATTCTCTTCTTTCATTTTCTCAAGCTCCTTCATCGTACTCCGTATTTCTACAAGTGATTTTTCGAAATCACTTATTTTGGCAGAGCAGAACGATACAGAGTTGATTAGTTCTTCTTGGCTACGCCTCATAGCTCTAAGCTCATCTCTCATTGAAATGAAGATTTTCGTCGACCCCTGTATATTCGATTCGCCGTCTTCGGCTTCGAGTACGTCTACAGCGGACGAGATATTCGTCGCTGTTTCGGCGCCCGTAGCGGCCGTACGCAGCGAATTGTTGGCATCAGCCACGGCGCAAGCTGGGCATTTCCAGCTGGAGCCTGGAACTGATTTCAGCAATCTGTGCTGGTCGACTGTTAAATTAACACACTTGAAGTGATAGTGGAGTTGGCAAAAACCCGAACACTGAAGGCCGGGAGACTTTTTTGTGATATGCTGAACGCAGTATTTACATATCGACTGCATTTTAGCGTTATAACTGAAGAAACTCACCGATAAACAATTTGATAATTAAATCCTCGAATTCAGGATAATTTTCTGAATTGTTCGATATCACATTCAAACTTTTGATAGGCTTTAAAACCACTGTATACGACTTTTTAAACACTTAGCGGAGTACACACGAGCGCACGCTGCGAGTCTGCTATTTATGCCAATACTCTAGATCCGTAAAATGCAAGAACCGTACATCGACAGACTCATAATCCATCGGACTACCAGAATTTCCGATCTATAATTCATCAAAACCGTAAAACGGCAGACCCGTAAAACAGCAGAATCGTAAAATGACAGACTCGTACAATGGCAGAATCGTGCAGCTACCAAACCCGTAAATTTTCAGAATTTTTTGGATTAAGACCCGTGAAATAGTAGAACCGTAAAATGGCTGAACCGTACATTGACAGACCCGTAAAACATCAGAACCGTACATCGACAGACCGTCAATATACCAGAATGTGTGAGACACGTGGAGACTCGGAACAAGCGGTAGCGCATTGTTGCCAAGTTGAATCGATAGAAATTCCTTGCTATACCTACTCAAATCTGATTCAAACTGTTTTATGAAGAATTCTAGAGGGCTGAGAAAGGTTCGTACATTGTAGTATTTGTGTTTGATAATCTGTTTGATCCGAATCAGGAAGATATTGACATGATAATTTGATTGTATCTAGATAATAATAATAATAATAATATATTTATTGTTCATTCATATATACAATACATGAACAAGGGCGGTGGCATGGGAATGAGTGGTCATATTATTAAGTACAATAGAGAGACAGAAAAATAAAATGAAATAAAATAGATGGAAATCAAGTCATAATAATTATCTACCTGCCTGATTGGTGACAAAATAGGGAACACCCCTCAACAACAGTTGGATGATCACATCCAGTTTCGCATCAATATTGATCCTATTCATTAACTATGAATGCTCTAAGTTTCATCGCTCCGCTCAGGAATTGGTACAGTTTGGTGAGTATGGAGAAATCTGTTGATGATAGTATCGAGTCTAAGTCGTCTGAATGTCCTCTAGGTTCGATCATGTTGCTTCTTAGATTTGCATACATCGGGCAGATCAGCAGTATGTGTTCGAGAGTTTCTGGTAATAAGCAATTACAAATTGAACATATGGCATTTGTTTCTATTTTATATGAGTTGTTATTAACATATATAAATAGCTTTTCAGTATTGGCTGTTCGAAGCTGAGCTACAATTCTCTTAATATGTAGTGGGCCTGCGTAGCATAAGTAATTAGTATTATCACATTCATTCTGTAAAAGGAATTTATAGATAGGGTGATGAATACTGAGCAGTATTTTATTTTGATCTTCTCGGGTATTTTTGTTTAGGTAACAGGTTAGTATGGTTTGTTTCGTGGTTCGATTGATATCGTTATTGTTCAAATCTAAATCACAGTAGGTAATAAGACAACGGTGCAGATGGTCAGCCCAGTTGTATTTCAGATTATTGTTCCCTGACTCTTGCAGTTCAATTAGATGACGAAGCGCTCGGTGCACATATCTTTTAGAATCTTTGTTTTTTATTCTTAGCAGAAACTCTATGGCTTGTTTTATTATGTGATATCCTATTCTACATGTATCTAGATAAAGAAGTATATATCATTCTTTTTGTTGAAAAATCATATAACAAAACATCAGACATGTGAATATAACGATGTTTTCTATGTATAATAGGTGAATCTATTCTTGGAGATTCTATAAGGCAGAAATGGAATCATTGTATGTCCATTTCTGAACATATAAATATTGAAGTAAAACATCAAAGTTTCAAACTTTTTTATAGTCCAATTGTCTGAGATTCGGATCAGTGTATACCTTTCAATTTGATTCTCCAATTAAATAGTAGATAATATAAATAAAGAACTTGTAGAATTTGTATATCGCTATTTCGTTTCGGGAAACCTACTCCCCAAGAGTTTTTGAATCTAGTGATTTCTTATTGTCAATTGTGCTTTAATCCCTCACATGACTTCAGTTATAGATTATATACAGGGTGTCCCAAAATTGCTCTACTTGAAGTAGATATCAAAATAAGTTGATTGAACCTAATTCGTTTATATACCAAAATGTTCCGTTCGTCAATGGGGTACTTTGTATGTGATCAATTAGGTTCTTTGTATGTGATCAATTTCATTTGCGTTTCGGATATCATAATGACTTCATTCATCTTTCATGAAATGTCAAATCTCAAGCAATGACGGCTCGAAATACCGCCTGTTGGTTGATCGAGGAGGTGTTACATACATTTTACTTGATTATTTGGGATTTTTCCTCCTCGCTTCTACAAAATAATAATATGAGCATAATTTCAATATACAGTGTGGTCATTTAAGTGTGCAACATATGGGAATCTTCTTAATGAATTGCACAACCAAAATACAGATAGTGCCAAGAGTTGGTGCATGTTCGATCATCATTTCAGGTGCACTCAGAAAAGTTGCGAGTCAAACAGCATACAGGGTAGGTAAAAAGATATAAAAAGTGCTCAGGAGTAAAGTACCCGTATTTCAAAAAATTCAGCAGAATGTTATCGAGAAAAGTTGTTCACAATTAAAATTCATACCTAAATACCAAAACATGGCTTCCCAAGACATTCTTCAGTTCTTCAATTCCTTTCGTCAATAAATTCCCATTTTTTGTTTCAAATTCAAGCATATTTCTGCATTCGACTTGGATTTCAATTTTTTTAGGTAATCACAAACTTCATGTTTGTTGCAACGATATTCACCTCAACTTTGAAATTTTGCGAACCCTATTTTCAACAAGGTAAAACTTCATCAATGATAATATGCATATTCGAAAACCTTCATTTAATGTGAACATTTTGTATTCGAAATGTTTATGAAAAAGCTGAACAAATTGATCGACAACCATGATATCTTTTGAAAAATCACGGACACCCAAGATACAGAACAAATGAGGGTTGACAGTAAATATTGAGGCAGTTTGGTGACATACTCCTTATCTAATGATGTTTTACCTTGTTGAAAATATGGTTTGCGAAATCTCAAAATTAAGCTGTATATCGTTGCAACAAACATCAAGTTTGTGATCCCCTGAAAAAATAAAATCCAAGTTGATTGCACAAAAGTGCATTGATTTGAACAAAAGTATGATCAACTGATTTTGTTATGATCAAATTATGAAAGTGTTTAGGGTGAATATAAAAAAAAAAATACAAATTGGTAAGTTATTAATGGAACAAATTGAAACACTAAAATATGTCTTAGGAGGCCATGTTTTGGTATTCAGGAGAAACTTTCAATTGTAAAGAACTTTTTTCCATAACAGTTTGCTGAATTTTCTGAAATAAGGGTACTTTACTCCTGAGCATTTTTCATATTTTTTGACCTACCCTGTATGCTGTTTGACTTGCAACGATTCTAAGTGCACCTTGAATAATTACCGAACATGCACCAACCTTTGGCACTATCTGTATTTTGGTTGTGCAATTCATCAAAAAAATTTCCATATGTTGCACACTGTACAAGTACAGAGGATTTGCCCCAAAATTTTACAGAAATTCAAATAGTACTCTGTATGAATAATTTTACGTAAGTCGATAGAGCGAAAAATCACCTTTCAAATGACATTTGTTTTCAAAATGGCGGATCATGCAGGAACCTTTTTGTCTGCAATCATCATGGACACATTGTGACGTCATCCGTCGAATTTTTGGCAAGCATCCTTATAAAATGAAAAAATTTACGAAGCACTTGGATTAGTTATTGATGGAACATATTTTTTGACGCTTGAAGCGCACGAAAGGAAATCCCTATGATAATTTGTTTTTGTTAAGTCATCATTTCGAACAATTTTCTTAGTCTTGAATTTCCCCAAGAATGTGAAATAGGAATGAAACTTTAGTCAAGTAAAGTTCAGTATAAAGAGGTCATTATGTTGTTTTTATAGGAATATCGAGGAATGTTAAATGAAAAAGTTGTTTGAAACCACCCAAACTTTTATTTTGTGTAGTTGTTTTCCCAAGTAGCATTTTGGCGACGACAACCACATAATACACCAAAATTAACGTTGCGTTTGGTGTAGTTTTTAGTCATTCATGAAACGGCGCTACCTAAACGACTCGACAACATCGTCTCGATGTTGAGCATGACTTTAGTTGAACTACGACGTTGTTACAACGTTTACCCAACTAACTAAATGTACTAAACATTTTGGGAAAAGTAATAACGTTCTAAAAACCTTTAAGTGACAACTCTAGTTATGTTTAACGTTTTCCCGACGTTGAGCCGACCTTATAAGACTTAAATATGCAGTGGGCCATTTTTAGTTGGATCAAAAACGTTGTCGCGTAGTCATTTTTGCAACTAACCTTTTTTCAAATATCCATTGAATAAAGTATATATCTAGTGAAAGATGAAGATCCTATATAACCCCAAAATTTCATCTACAAAAAGATGTAACTAATCATGAAAAAAGATTTTCAAAATTTAATAATGGTTTTTTTTGACTTAAATCAAAAATGAAACGGGCCTTCAAATACACTGCCTCTTATTATAGACAAAAAAAAAGATTATGTCTTGAAGAATTAACAAATTTTCCAGAGGACTAACAATTTATTCAGGATGAACATCATGAGGAACAGCTTAGTCAAATGACAGAATCCTCGGAAGAACTCAATAATGTAGAAGAGAACAATCCAGAGGAAGAGATTACTCAAGTGGAAGAGATTACTCAAGTGGAAGAGATTACTCAAGTGGAAGAGGTTACTCAAGTGGAAGAGATTACTCGAGTGGTAGAGATCATTGAAGATGAAGAACAGGGGCCAGATTCACCAACTGTAGAAGATACATTAGGCTCTAAAATACGACAATTTTTACCTAATTGGGTGCTAGAATATCATGTACCTCATGTTGCAATTAATGCACTGCTGCAAAATTTGATATCTTGTGGGGTATCAGGATTACCAAAAGACAGTAG